TGCCAACACAGCTTTTTGCTGCCTTCAGTTGAGTGCTTTTTCTTCATTGTATAGATTAATACATTACAAATGCTTTGCAAGAAAGCAGCTGGTACTTGTGAAAGAGTAACTGCAGTTTTAATATCAATAGCATGCACACTTTTTTGTTTCCTTAAGTCTAAAAATGTTTTTAGAGGGCTGTTAAACTGACACTTTAGGGTAGCATATTGTTAATGACTTGCTAGTGGCTTTGTTTGGGTCAGAAAAATAAATTGTGCCAAGAAAGTATTTTAATGTGGCATGAATTGATGCTGTTAATGCAGTTATATTGAGTGGTTGGTGCTTTGCCTTAATAACTGGAAATAGAAGATTGAAGTCCTCTGGTGGAAGTAGCCTTTATTCAGTAGCTGTATATTTAAAACAAACCTTGTTCCTGACTACATAAATCGTTTCCCCCTTTCCACCACTTAGAGTTCACATCATCTCAGTGTGCGAAGCTCTTCTGGATGTAGCTATGTGGTATGTTGATGTGAGTCATATTATCCAAAATGACACTAAATTGATTTGAGACTGATAGTTGAGCTCACTTTTATATGTAAACACATCAAGATTTCTCTCAGCTGTTGTCAGCATGAAATAACTTCAATCTCTCTGTAGCAAGTCTGGCTGACCCAGTGCAGAAAATGACTTTTGAACTAGGTTAGTATTTCCAGCATTGCTAGGTTAGGTGCTTCTGAATATATTAACAAAGGTGGAAATCATTACTTCCCAAAAAGTATTGGGTATTGACTCACCCTAAATTTAGAGCTAGGATATGTCTCAGATCTTCACTTAGCCAGTGCAGGTACTGATTTAACTGTCATGGGCAGACAGGTACTGCAGTGTAATTCCTCCTTGATTGGCCCTGGATATTAGCCAATACAATCTTGGCTGCCCTTCAACTAGAATAGGAGAGAGATTTCTAGATTTGGTTTAAGAAATCTCTTGAGGTTGTAGCAGTCTGGGAAATATATAGCTACACCCTCTAGCCACAACTGTGAAGGTTTTGTTATATTTGTGTTGGTGCTTTGGAGCAGAACTTGCCACTTCTCATTAACACCAGAGGTTCATGATTGTGTATAGAGCCCAGCTGTGAGTTATTAATATTAGGTTTTCTTCATCATCTCTTAACACAGGGTTTTAAGAGAATTGGAGTCCTGAAATTCAGTGCTGAGCTTGGTGATAGAGTAAATTCACACACCTGATTATTTCCCCCAGTATCTTGCTAGCTGCACCTTCATTCCCTGCATATACGAGAGGCAGGAGGATAGTCATTGAGAGACAGGACTGCTTACAGGAGAGGAGTAGGAGAAATTGCTGGGTATTGGAGATTCTGAAATGATTTGTATTGTGCACCCTACTGTAGGGCTTAGGGTTAGAGATTAACATGAGGGCAAATAGGCATGATGATGGGGCTTGTCTATATTAGGGAAACTTGTCAAACGTTTCCCACTGTCACACATGCTGATTCAGCTCCACCAAAGTTAGCAGAGTTGAAACCTTGCGTCAAATGGGTTGTAGGCCGCCCACCTACATTTTAAGAATATAGGCCACATTGTCAAAAATCATACTGTGTGCCTGTCTCCATCTTGAGGCACCTAAATGCCTTTTGAAAATCTGGCTCCATGCCACTTAACATGGCTTAGAGCAGTTACAGCTGACAGGATGATTAAAATTTAGTGGCAGCCAGAGAGTCCTCTGCATCATGGTGCCAAACACAGGTAACCCTGTCAGAGCTGAAGTAGTGTTAGAAATAGTGTAGAAGAGGCTTCAGTAAAGAATAGACCCTTTTAAAGGAGGAAGTATGCATCAAGTTCTTGGAATTATTTCTCAAACTCTGTTTTGGTACATTGGAACAGTGATTTCTGTGGCATTATTTTTGTGCTTTAATATCACCATTCCGAAAGTCTACGTGAGTAAAATAAATACATTGGAGTCTTTGGAACTAGTTACTGTAAGTCTTTTTTGGCTTTAACCTTGAGTTAATTAACTCACATTAGGGCTTTTAAAAGACTTTCTTTTTAAAAAGTCAACTGAACTGCATCATCCCTGATTTTCTGCCCCTCTTCATTTTTTGTTTTAAAGACAGGGCAGTCTTGTTGTTCTCCCCATATACTCTCCATATATTTAAGCTGCTTACACTCTTAGCCATAATTTTTTCACCCATTAATTTATTTGCCACTATGGCTAGCTGTTTCTCATATTGTCTTCCCTCATCACCATTGCTCAAAGTGAATTGCCCTTGGCCAAGTTTATTTCTGAAATTTGTCACCCATTATGATGAGTACCACGCAGTATGTCATCTCAATAGTGCTCCTAGTTATTTCAAACCTGACACGCAGCAGATTTAGAATGTGATCTCTAGAGAAAATAATTACTTATGTGCTTTTTGTTTTCTTAATCAGAGTTAAAAGTAAATGGATCCCACATCTGTCACTTAGCTTATTTTAAAAACCGCTTGACAATCTGCCACTGAATCACATGAAATGTTAGCGTTCCTACATCAGTCAAAACTCAAGGAAATTGTGTGGCAATGACAACGGAGCTACTGCTGATGTTTTACTGTGGGTAACTGCTTTTAGAAAGAAACATTCAGCTGCACTTTCACTGCTCACTTGGTTTTGGCCATCTGTCTGACTTAACTGTCCCTAAGCCATGCTGTTCTTCAGTCAGAGGAAAAGCATGTAGTAAGCTATAGACCAGCTCTCCACGGGAGGAGTAGTACTCTGCTCAGACCTTTCTGAAATAAAATATCTTTGTGAATGATTTCCTTCATCTCATCAGGGCAGACTTTATTAGGATGTCTTGCCTCCTGGAATCTGACCGTAAAGGGTTTTCAGCTAAGACTTCAGTTCGGCGTCTTGCCTTTCCAGCATGACTTTCTTGGCTTGATGGGGATGCTGAAGTCCCCATGCTGGTGAAAGGTTTCAGATGGCCTGTGAGAGCTTCATAGTTTGGGCACTGTCCATGCAATGTCACTCACTTGAGGTGCAAGCATGTCCATATGTGGGTCTCCTGTGTGACAGGGGGAGGGGCGTGGAAAATATCTTTGAGGGAAGGATATAGATAGTCATACTCTGACATTTGAACATCTTACCCCTAAGAAGCTCTCTGTCCATCTGAAACCTCTCACAGGCATGGGGACTTCTGCATCCCCACCAGGCCAAGAAAGTCATGCTGGAAAGGCAATGCTCAGAACTGAAGTTTTAGCTGAAAGCCGTTTACGTTCACATTCCAGGAGGCAGAATACTGATGCTTTCCTTATGGCAGTTTTTTCCCAGGTGCAAGCTTCAGTTAGATTTGGCTGCTGTGATTGCTTGCTTGAATCCAGCAGGTGTTTGTGCATCAGGATAATAGAATAAAAATGGTTGTGCTGCTGGCAAATCAGTTACCCAACACATTAGCTCTTCTAAAGATTAAAACATGGAGGGGAAAGGTCATCTACTTGTCAGACTAAACGTGTACTCACTGGGGCCTGTAGTGTAGATTAATGGTTTTCTAAGTACCCTTGGAAGACCAGTTACAATAAAACTGGAAATCTTAACATTCTTAAGCCCTAGCAAGTAGTAAATTTTTCTTGAATTCACTGT